GGATGCAGTCTAGACACAGCCTACATGTACATCTTGTAATTTTTAATATTCATCCTTCATGCACCAAATGTTTTGAAAATATTTTATACAGAAACCACACTGGTTTGCATGCATTTTCAAAGCCTAGGATTAGTGATTCTGCTTATCTAAATTAAAATTCCTTTCAGATCATAAAGAGATTTTTGACTGTAAAAAAGAATGAGAGTATCAGATGATAAGAATTTACTTTTCCATGGGATTATTATCTGTAAAGTAATCCACACTAATTAAAACAAGTAATGTGCATAGTAATAATTCTTTGCTGTCCTCCACAGCAGTGGTGAAAATATTCCATGCAACAAGATATAGTACATATCTACTGTTGACCAATAAAATGTTAATTTATTTGATAATTTGAAGATCTTAGGCCACATCTTGACCAGTACAAATAAATCTCTGTAAGTATATGGGGCCAAATTCTGTCCTAATCTATACCCTGCTGTGCAGACCCATTGACAGTGATGGGAGGGAGAATAGTGAAGAAAGCCAGAGCAATACATTCTTGTATTTGCCCCACCCCCAAATCCTGCCTCCACCTCAGGTTTCCTGGATCTAACCATTCATTTAAACCCTCCCCAGACAATATATTTGTTCCTTTCTCTGATGCAGCCCATACCTCCTCCAACTTTCATCCCCTCCTCATCCATTGTGTCTGCCCACTGCAGTCCGATGGCAACAAACTCACAGTGAATGGATTCCCCTGTCCATGACTATTGACCGAGACAAGAGGAGAGTGTAGTTTACAGAAATTCTCTACCTTGCAGCATCTCTGTGTAGCAGTTAAAGAGTTTTATTTTCTTTGGCAACCTCTCCATGAAATTACATACAATATAATCATATTAACTAGAATGTATTAAAAAAAGAAAGAAGATGGAAATGAGAAGTGATTTGGGGCCACTTTCTGGCATGGGGCTTATTGGCTGGGGGGCAGGGCCTTGAGTCTATTCCTGGACCCAAGAGTCAGAAAAAAACCCCATTCCTTAACTACTAAATCCACCAAGAAGTTGTGAGGGGAAGTCAAGCCATCCACTCCATTAGATTCCAGCTCAGGGCTCTTGAACTAGCTACACAGAGTCAGGATTCAACTCTAACAATGCCCTGAAACATCTTCATACCTTCCCCTAGATATCCACAGGACTGAAAAGATTTAAAAAATATTTTAAATATTTTAAAAATTTCAGAGGCGTAGCCATGTTAGTCTGTAATTAGAAAAAAAAAACTTTAAAAAAGGCAAATAGTCCTGCGACACATTAAAGACAAACAAAAAACTGGTATCATGAGCTTTCATGGGCAGGGTGTGCCCACAAAAGCTCATGATACCATTTACATTATTGTTAGTCTTTAAGGTGCTGCAGGACTATTCGCTTTTTTTTTTACGTTTTAAACATTTTCATTTCTGTGGTTGAGGTAGGGATTGACTCTTTCCTGAAATGTACGACATGGCTGCCATTAAAGGACATTCATAATCTTAAGGTTAAAGAGTGATCCTCTCTGATTCTGAAAGTCTACTATTCAGCTTTATTCATTTTAAAATGTTTTCTGGTGACTGTGCATGTATACTGACAAATCCCCAGATGTGGCAATGTCACTTTGTTTCTTCACATCATGTTTCAGAAGGAGATGTTTCTGTGATAGGTCACACAAAGATTCAACAGATTTCCCCCCATTTGTCAGAAAAGAGTCAACAATATCCTTGAATTCAGTTAACAGAAAGCAACATTTCTGATCCCTCTTTACAGAGAAAATAGCTTTTAAAGGATTTAATGAATATTCTTACTGAAACTCATCCATGCAGCCATATTGTACTGTGGAAATATTAAAAGATTGATGCTTAACACTACACAAGCTTTGGAAGCCAAGTCTCCATTATACAGACAGAAATTAATATAAAACTTGAGCTTTGGGAGGAGATCCCCAGTGAGAACAGACTGTCATAGCTGCAGCCTCTAGAAGTTTGATCACCCAAATACCTAATACCACATCAACCTGTCTGCAGGTGGAATTTGTAGTATTACACAAGATTTAATATTCAGAATTTCAGTTTTCAATTGTGTATTTTGTTTTCCTTCATAACCCAAATATCATTTTGATTTTGATAAAACAGATTTTATTGAATTGAACACACCCTCCCTTTGTAACTCTAGAATTTAACAGTGAGAGAGTGTTGTAGAATTTTTTAAGTGGACAAACCTCAAAAGATGCAGTCAGATGAATAGTCAAAGTTTGGTGGTTTCTCCATTATTTATCAATCTTGTCTGAACTCCTTTTAGTTGAGAAATCAGGTAAAATCTAAGCTGAGAAATAACCTCTTGTGACTCCTTTTACTATTTCTGCTTAAAGCCAATGCTAGGAACCAGGTAGAAGAAAAATGAAAGTGCAGTAAGCTGCCTCAAACTGCAGGAACATTTTTTTGAAGCAGGAGTGGGAAAGCTAAAATTATATTGGAGACGAAACAACTAAAATGTCCCTCCTATCTCCCAGACTTAGAGGTGGGATGTCTAGGCCAGCTGGCAAAAGAAATCACTTGTCTTTTGTAAGGTGTACACACCACTCCCCACCCTGTGGGCATTCAGTGCTCTAGTGGTCTTGTAGAGCTGGGTCTCTGGCCTCTCTAGTGGGACACAAAGATGTAGCAAATCCTGTTGACCCCTGCACACTTCATGGGATTATTTATCAGCCTTTTCTTTAGCTCTGAGCACCATTTTACATAGGAAGAAAAGCTTCCCACTAAGAATTAGGGATGGGTCAGGTCTTTTGGGTTTAGCTTTGGGCATCATGCGTATTGCCTTTGGGACCAGGAAATAATTTTTCCTCACTACCTGATTGGCCTAGGCACTATGGCATTTCTGCCTTACTCTTACTCTTCAGGTTCTGATATGTAAGTTAGACAGTTAAGTTAACTTCCATCAAAACTTGGCTGGTGCACAGTGCAGGTAATCGATCTGTATCTGTCCAGTTACCTGATAGTGGAATTAGAAACATTAGAGGATAACATTTCCTGAAGAAGGTGGGCATGTGGCTGGAGCCCCTAATAACCTGTGCACCAGAGAGATAACTTTTTCTCTGATGAGGCAGGGTGGCAGGATCTCAGAAATGTTGCTGGAATGAAGCAGAACATAGTACAATAAGATTACCTGCAATGTACAAGTTATTGGTTCTCAGATATGTTGCTTAATGAAACTGCTGCCTAATTAAACCACACTCTTGATGTGTTGTCTTTTTTTTTCTGCAGTCTCAAAGGACAATTTCAAATCCCTTTATTAGAAGAGTTGGCAGTATATGCTATGCATGTCACCACATCACAGTCACATAGTTTTTGTTTAATAAAGTATCTGTACCTACCAGATTTCACTGCTTGTGGTGTTGTTTCCAAGTATTTTATATCAAGTATTGAAAAATACTATTTCTTTAGTTTCTTTCGTACAGTGCAAATATTTGTCACAAAATAATAATATGAAGTGGGCACTGTACTTCATTTTGGATTGTGTTGTAGTTGAAATCAGTATTTTGAAAATGTAGAAAACATCCACAAATATTTATGAATGGTATCCATTATTTATTAACAGCGCAATTAAAACTGCTATTAATCCTAATTCATTTTAAAAACCATTTGACAGCCCAAATTAAAATATTTTAATAGCACCACCCACCTACTGAATGGAGTGCAGTCTTTACTGTCACAAAAAATGTCAGTAAGATTTCTAGATGATTGTCCAAGATGACAGTGATTTTTCATAAGGCTATACATATTGAAAAAATTTGCATTGGCATACCTTGCTCCAGCTATACACCACCACCTCCATCCTTGATAAATACCTAAGTGGCACGTCTATCAAAAAAGCTGTTGCTGCTTTCTGTACATGAGGCACAACATACCTAAAAATTTGCAGTCTGAGCTACCAGACTATTCATCACATAGGAAACATCCCCCTCTTTTTAATTACTATTTATACTCTTTTGTATCCAAGTTCCTCTGCCTATAATCTCTTACCTGGACAACTTGAGATAACCTTTGATTTTTTTTAAGATTGGTGCCAGCACATTTAATTTTATCAGCTTGTAGGATGCACTTTAAGAGCAAAAAAGTACAGTATATTCTTGGCATCCAGACACCTTGGATAGGATATATGTAACAGTAACTTTTCACCAGCCAGAAAACAAATTTGCTTCCAAGCTTGAGTTTTCTGGGCAATACAACTGTGCTACTACAAAGCTAGTAAACTGATCACAAGATGTCAGTATTTAATATTTAGGTAACGTCTATGTTGATTTGTGCAAAAATGGTTTAAAAATAATTGTACGGTCTCTTCCCGACTTACGAACCGGTTATGGACCAAGCAATTGGTCGTAACTCGGATCGTTCGTAAGTCGGACCCCATTGAGTTATACGCGACTGTTCGTAACTCAGGGTCCGCCATTTATGACTGCTTTGGTCGTAACTGCGAACGGTCGTAAATCGACCGTTCACAACTTGGGGACCGGCTGTAAATAATCTTGCAGCCTAAATAACACTACATCTGAAATTTCTGTATTAGCTCCTTGAATGTTGGCAGGCATGTCTTACACATGCAAGAAATACATGGTTTACTGCACTAGCATAAAGTTCAGTGGAACTTGAGGACATATGGCATACAATCATAGGGCCATAAGGATGCCAGTACTGATCATGCATGGCATATGAATACGGCACTCAAGAAGCTAAAGGAAAAAGACTAAATGACAATTAATGGGAAAAAACTAAAAATAATTTTAAAATTTTCAGAAAATACACGGTTAATTCATTTCTACTTACAAAAGCTTCTGCAAAGAAATCCTGTTTTGAAGCACTAAGACAATATTTAAGTAAAGCAGTAATTGGAGGAGGTGTTGTATGTGATGCAGCCTTCATGACCTTCGGTTAGGAGACGAGATACATACACCTTTATTATTAATATGAATGTCCCCAAAAACAGTCTACTTACCAATGCACAAAGCAGATCAACTGCTTCTAAGATCAATTCTTGGTGTCCAATGCGAGTGACTCCCAGTTCTTCAAGTTCTTGATGAGTGATGTGCAGCAGCTGTTCTCCATTGATTTTTTCCTTTTCAAAATTTTTAATGTATTGCTGGAGGCAGTCATCAAGGCCTAGTTAAAAAAAATGCATGTTCAGAGAATAATGGCCATGAATATCAAAACTGTAATTCAATGCACTATTTCCCTTTGGAGCTGAGACACACTACACTTTTGTGATTCTTAAGGATGAATGTGCTTTATGCCAATATGGTTTCTGTCAGCCAGTCATGCTTCCATTTTAATTTTTTTTGTTTTGATGTAGATACAACTGAAAAATATCTATCATGGGCTAATCAAAGGCACCATAACCAAAAATTAAAATTACAACCAAATTAAAAATTAAAGTCAGCAGCTACTCCTAACCAGAAAATGACTGACTAAAAAAAATTAAGCTCGGAAAGTATTCCTTTCCTTCATTAAACATTAGCTTTTATAGCATCCTTGTGAGTTAGGAAGATGAGCTATACAGCATGGCCTGAAGGTCAAATTATTTCTTTTCTAAATGGTAGGGAAACATTCTAAGCCTGCAGGCCCCTTATGAAGGGCATTTTGCCAGAAGTTCCTTCCCTTATGAACAGACCTCTATCTCAGTGCCACAGCTCACTGCTTCTCTCTCAGAATCACAGAGAGAGTCACAGTCTCATCCTGTGATATATGGATAAAAATCAACAATTTAAATTCTAATAGAAACCAATAATGACATCATAGTATTCAAAAATAGGGTTTGCCATTTCTATTACATTACTCCCAGAAGCATAATTTTCAAGTGTAATAATTCTATTAGAGACAGCATTTCACATTTGGAGACAATGCTATTTAAAAGTAGGCTTTCATAGATATTAACAGACTTAGTCAAAAGCAAAGCCAAATCAAACGCATAGCCTGGGATCTCTTTTCTAAGGCTCTTTAGGAGACCTTGCACTTGAATTGTCTTTCTGTTCCTATGCATTCTCAGCCTATATGGCAGTGTTGCTATCACTATGTTCAGATATGCTTTAAAGTTCAACAGATTGATTTACCAGGACTTGAGAAGCAACTCTTAAATGTTAAGGTCTCTACCAAAGACCTAGAATCTTTAATTAGACAAATATTTAAGAAAATATACGTGCCTAGAATTATATTTTCATTCCTAATTCAGAGTTCATCTAGCAAGAGGAATAGTACCCATTGTAAAGTAGTACCCATAGTATACTTAAGCCTAGATCAGCAAAAGCATAAATCCCTCTAAAAACTGTTTTACATCAATATATGCTTTAAATTTCAGGCAAGGATATATGTACTGCATATACAAAATGTCCAGAATATAAATCTTGAAACCTATTTCTTATATAGTGAAAGTTCAAGTATCAAAGTCGTCTCAAGAACTGAACTTAAAATATGGCCAGGTAGAATGGTACATGGACATTGGCCTACATTGCCTTTGGGTCATACAAATCTTTCCCTCTTGCTAAAGTTCATGAAACTGAATTTCAACCAGCAGAGTTTACCATAGATCTTTCCGTTAAACTGAGTGCTCGTCTTCTTCTGATGCCTTCCTCCTATAGTGGAAGAAGCAGTCAATATAAAAACTCCTCCTATAGTGGAAGAAGCAGTCAATATAAAAACTCAGCCCATATAGGCTGAGAATGCATAGGACACCCAAGGAAGATAAAGCATCCCTCTGTATTAACCTCTAGATCCAATAGACTCTACAGAAGCATGGTGTTACCAGCATAGGTGAACTAAGTAAATGATGGAAAAGCACTGACAAATCTGGGAGGACTATATGAAGGCGAGAAAATAAACATACATAAGTAATGTCTGAAAAAGCAAAGTAATGAATATGAATCATTATCTTGCATTGTAGAAATGCTTTAAACTTCCTTACTAAAGGTATGTTTACACTGCAACACTATTCCAAAGTAACTTAGTCCACGTCTACACAGCAAGCAGTTATTTCAAAATAGTGTGAAAATACTGTTAAGCTGGAGGACTTCTTATTCCGACTCTTGTAACCCTCATTGTATGAGGAATAAGGGAAGTCGGAGGAAGAGTGCTCTACTTCGAAATAAGAGCTGTGTAGACACTTCCTGTTTCGAAATAAGCCATGCAATTGGCATAGCTCAGTTTGCGTAGTTTATTTTGAGTTAAGCCCTGCAGTGTAGATGCACTCTAACACAACATAAAAGAAGCTACAGAAAGCTTCAGTTGCACAATGTACTCACGTAAAGGGATGCAAAACTAGAACTACCATGATATTGGTTATCTTTTTTTAGATGCTACTTTTTTCATAAACAACAAACTAATCTTTTCAGCAATTCAGGTTATTATAGAAATGAGAAAATGCAGCTTCTAATGTAATAACTTCATAATATCACTACTATATAAACAAAAATATGCTTTATGTACTATCTATCTTGCTAGATAATTACCAATACCAGAAGCCATTTGTGTATAAATTATAGACATTTAATGAGGGAATGAATTAATTATCTGGAAATACATAAGCAGTTTCTTTTACCAAATACGGGTTGAACCTCTCTAATCCAGCACCCTTGGAACCTGACTGGTGCCGAACTAGAAAATTTGCCAGACCACAGGATCTCAATATTCTCTAGCAGCATTACCAACACTTCCACTGCTTACTGGGCTCTTAGAAGACATTTAGGAGTACATTAGAGCTAAATAACAGCACAGAACACTGAGAGCCAAGGCTGGTAAATAAACTTTATGGGACCATTGGAAACTTGGGTGTCACCTTGATAATTGGACTTCCAGATAACTTAAATCATGTCGGACCATGGATGTTGCTAGACCAGAGAGTGTCAGACTAGAGAAGTTCAACCAGTACAAAATAGAGTGTGTCACAAGAAGCAAGCCCACTCTCAAGAATGTAATCTCTGTTAAATGTCTCCTTGGAGAAGCATTGAAAAGAAACTGTGACAGTTGTAACCATTATTGTTTATTTTTTGCTTTATTTAATATTGCCTTTTCCTTTCTTTAACCAAGTAGTCATGGTTTACCACTGATTTTCTTTTCAATTGCAGTGTCCCTGTGGCAAAGACTCCCATGTGACTAAAATAGTGAGAGCCATGTTCCTAAACTGACACTAAGAGGGTATAACAGATTTGGGCTATCATTGCTTGTTTCTTTAGAATACAGAGATTTTTAGAATAAAAATACTAAACTCAAAACATACCTTTGTATCCATCATAGCCTAAGAGGAGAATTTCATTTCATTTCAGAGAGAGAGAGAGAGAAAGAGTGCCCTATGCCTAGGCCTAGTTTGTTGTTTCTTTGCTGAGTTAGGTCAGGACTCGGGGTGCTAATGATGTCCCTGTCAATAAAAAGGAAGGTCCTAAAATTATATATCATTTGTATAATGATCAAAATAAAATACCAAGTCAGGGCAGAACCAGCATTCAAATACAGAAAGGCTAAAATTAGTTTTAATGTTCCTTTCTAATCAAGAGCAGTTATAAAAGGGCAGATGTGGGTGTCAGTATTTTTTTTTTAAATCATCTTTAACCCTAACTGTAAACTCAACAGTTAGGTGATTTAAATGTATTGAATTTTTCCAAATATACATTAATTTTTAAAGCTTCATGTCAAAATTAATATCCATGAAAGGAAGTTATTCCAGGAAACTGACCTATATTTATCCACACAGCATATATAATGGCATATGTACTGGCAATACCCCCAAACCTGTAGCCAGTGGTAACAGAACAATATCTGAAGTGGAGCTGCTCTGCAGCACAGCCTTATTGCCCTGGTCTGCACTCCTCACTACCCCCGAGTGCTGGGGCCAGCAGCCAGAAATCCACACACAGGGCAGGCAGCCTGGTGGCCAGATGAGACCCTGCATGCAGGGCCTGACAGCAGAGCCCCTGGGAATGGGGCTGGCTGCTGACTGAGAGCCAGGGGCTGAGGCAACATGAGTTGGGGCTGGGATACCCAACACCTGAGGTTGCTACAGCACCCCCTACATGCCACGCCTGGGCCAATAGGCCTCAAACCTATCCTTAGTGAACTGCACCTGCACATTTCATGATTGGTCTTGTGGCATCTTTAACAAGAACACCAGACAGGACCAGTTGTTATGGATGTGTCTGTAATGACACTAGAATTAAGCATATCATTAATGATATAATACACTTGACAAACTTAGCTACCTCTTCTTCTCCTACATGTATGCCAGTAAATCACAGTCTTTGCATTAATTTTAAAAATTTCAATATTTTCTGAAATTTTAGCTACAATAGTAAGCTGTCACTAATCAAGTAATGCACATAGAATTACAGTCTCTGTGTATACACAGGTAAATGGATGGGAACACTTAGCCAATCAGATGGTAGCTTTCTTTAAAGCAGTTTTAGAAAGGTGATTATTCAGTTGAAGCTAGGTAGAAGAAAAGATGAGGGACTCAGATTACAGAGCAATCTGTCATAAAAGCAGCTTTATTATTGGTTTATGTTGTAGATCATGAAAAAACATTTTTTCCCGTGAGCTCAGGAACATAGTGAACCATTTGTTTGATTGTTTAGGACAGTGATTTTGCCTCCTGCAGAGTAAGCTGTAAGAGAAAACTAAGTCTAATTTCTTTGAAGGCAAAATCCACATATTTTCACATTTCTTTCTCTGCCTATAATCCTGCTTCCTGACGTGTGTTTATGTTGTAGATCATGAAAAAACATTTTTTCCCGTGAGCTCAGGAACATAGTGAACCATTTGTTTGATTGTTTAGGACAGTGATTTTGCCTCCTGCAGAGTAAGCTGTAAGAGAAAACTAAGTCTAATTTCTTTGAAGGCAAAATCCACATATTTTCACATTTCTTTCTCTGCCTATAATCCTGCTTCCTGACGTGTGTTCTCGGGGCTGAAGATCACAAGGAGGAAATGCATTGAAATGAGAGGGAAAGAAGATGTATAGTTTCTTTCAGTATAACAATGAAAAAAATATTAAAATGGGCTATGATGGCATCTTATCTAACGCTAGTTTAAGGAAGCAATACGCTTTCATATTATTTGTGTGTTTTCTGAAAATACTTCCTACTTTAGATTTTTGTTAAGATCTCTTATGAGTTGTTATG